TTGAGAATATTCAGTAAGAAAAAGTAAATGGAAAAAGTAGCATAAAACAGGACCACAGCACCAAAGAAACAGGTCTGCTAACTCCTCTTGATTTATACAACAGAGGGCTGAATAAAACTGTGGAATTGATCTGTAACAAAACCCTTATAAAAAAGTTACAGCCCGCATTAAGCAGGAAAAGGAAATTAATATGGGTAGGCATATTGGAGGCACCTGACTGATTCCAAGCACTCCTGCAATCTGAAACAATCCCACCAACCGAGCATTTGAAGAGGTTAAACTATTTATAAGAGGTGTTTCAGTTTTACGCTAGCTTCATTACCAGATGAAACATACCTCTTAGTTTCCGTAAATATGAGAAAACGGCAAGGCCTAATATAGCAAAAGAAAAAGAAAGAGCTTTTTGTTGTTATTATTATTGTTCAAGAATCTATTCTCAACTAGTTAGAGGTATCTCAAAGATTTATTTAAATATTTCCTCTTAAAGTCACGCTTATCAGACATTTGCCAAGAGGTGACTGTATCTGGTGTGTTTCCACTGTTGAGGCACAAGCCAGTTGCTCATATTTACTGAGAAGTCTAAGGTGCCACTGTTCAGAAACTAAGGCCTTATCAGTACTAAAAGAGTGGCCCTCCTTAACTCTACCAGTATAATTAAGCAGCGAAGTGCTCATAAATGTAGATGTTGTTATATCAGTATAAAGGTGCCTATATTGGTAAACAGACTAGGAAAGTGAAATAACCTTCCAGTATAAAGAACCTTACACTAATATAAATGGTCCTATAATAGCTACATTTTACACTAGGCAAGCATGGCTACATTGGAGGAGGCGGGAGGAAACACAGCTTTTGCCAACATTGTTTGCCCCCAAAAACTAGTCCATACCTAAGAAATGAAGACATTTTAGGAATGGTCTAACTCTACCTCATTTCAATATCAGCACAGGAAAAAATATTCTATCATCTCTAAGCAGCATGAGGCAGGTTTAGAAAACTATACTCACGACAAAAAACTGAAAACACTAACTCAAATAAGACAAAGAAATGTGGAACAAAGACCACATAACCCAATGAAATATTTCAATTCTTTTCCTATGAAAACCAGTTTACTCTCCATCATCTCTCCCCTTCCCATTCTCAGCAGTCTCTTTGTTACTATTTCATGTGATAGCCATTTGCTTAACACTTCTCTTCAATGAAGTTTTCTTCGTAACCTGCTCCTACGAGAAGAGGTTTGTTGGCACTACTTTTCTCTCCCACATTTTCCTCTTTCCCTTAGCTCTGTACCACTAGAGAGAGCAGGAGCTGGCCTGTCTGGTAGCAGAGGGGGGGAAAAAAAGCAGAGTTTGAAAAATTTACCTCAACTCTGCTATAGAGGCAGTGGCAGATTTACCATGAAACAAACCATGTGGTGGCACAGGGGCCCCCAGGACAGAGGTTCCCAAAATTCAGGACAAATCTGAGGAGGATGAAGGAAAAAAGAATGAAAAAAGTGTTGGCGGGGGGGAAGGAGATTTAAAAAAAATGTTTTTTTCTTGGCTTGGTCCCAAGGGAAGGCCCCAAAAATCAAGCTGCGCAAAGGGCCCCACTAACTCTAAATCCGTCACTGTACAGAAGTCAAGAAGCAGTAATTCCTACCAATGAAATCCAGGTCTACACTACCCTGTTAAGAAGCCCTGTTGCCACACCCAAATGCAGCAAGTGGATGATACTATGGCTACAACTTTGATATCAGCTTGTCTAACCCCATATCTGGTAAAATTTGAAGCTCCATCTTATTATGCAGTGAAAGCAAAAAAGCTTCTTCAACCTTCAATGCATCTAAACCACCACGGGGAGAGGGAGGAGGAGACTTCTGCTACTCTACCAGTCTCCAAGCCATTTTTTTGTGTCATGTATCCCTGCCTCTGTTACAGCTCACAGGTTTCTCATACAGCAGTAGAAAGAATATGAAAGGGAGTTCTGAACGTTTTACAACTGCCCAGAGAGTTTTGTGTGGCACCAGTGAATATAATTGTTCTTTATAAATTCTGCTGTTGCCTGGAAAAGTAATGTCCCGCAATTAGCAGCACTGTGTACCACTGCCTTCAAAGTCAAGAAGATGACTTGCCTACTCATGAAACTGAAACTGTACTAGTTTAGTCTTTGCTCACATTTAAAAGTTTATTGCTCGAAGTATGGTGGATAGAGATTTATTTGTTCATTTTTAAGTGAAAGTTTTCCACTTGCCTGCAGTGAAATAAGTTTTTAAAACACAGCTCAGACCACTAGTCAGCTTGCCAGTTCAAATACCAATGTTCAGTCAGCATACTTGTTAAAAGAAAAATGTTATACGTGAAATGTTATACAGTATAACCTCATAAATCCAGATATCAAAAATCCAGAATTATCAAAAATCCAGCACTTCGCCCTGCCACTCTGGGACCAGCCGCTGCTTCCCTCCCCCTGCCCCCGCACATGCTATTCACCACCCCGTGTGCAACCACTGCTCCCCCTGCTGCTCTGCTCCGCCACTATCCACCATGCCAGTTTCAAAAATCCGGCATTTTCAAATTTCCAGCAGGTGCTTGGTCCCAAGCACACCAGATTTATGAGGTTATACCATATACAGTTCCAAACCCATAAATTTGTACCATTATTCACAAAAGTGAATACTACATCATAATGTTTCAGGGGTGTACTTGGTAGCCATGTTGGTCTGAAACAAAAAGACATACAAAAAACTAGAACTCTTGGTTCCAAAATGGTACCTTTTATTAGACCCAGCTGGAAAATAGCAAGAAAACTGTCCTTTTCTACAAGCTTTTGGGATCAAAGTCCCTTCATCAGGCTCTGGGAAAAGTGTAGATGGTACAAGATGGTAAAAAGTCCCCATAGGTAGGAAATAAACTTCATTTTCAGATGGAGCTGAAGATGGAAGTCTGTCCCTCTGGGTCCATGACAGTGTCTTTGTGAGATGTGTTGAGTAGCTCTTTGATCCCAAAAGCTTGCAGAAAAGGACAATTTTCTTGCCATTTTCCAGTTGGTCTAATAAAAGGTATAATTTTGGAACCAAGAGTTCTAGTTTTTCGTATGTCTATTACATCATAAGACAGTTAAAAATTGTAACAGACCACTTCAGAAATAAGGAGGAGAAAAGAATTTGCCTGTAAACACAAATGGATAAATGCAGACCTAGGTGGTCCTCCTTCCATCAAACCAGCAAGAAGCCATGCAAACATAATCAAAGGCAGAATCTGTGCCATTATTTATTGGAGGGAAAATGTATTTTGCTTTTATTATTACTCTAGTTCAGGGGTGGCAAACATGCACCCCTTGGAACCCTGTCATCCAGCCTATGCAACTTGTAGAGGGGCCATGAATTCAGGGGTACGGCTTGCTGCCAAAATCTGAGGCATGGAGCCCTGTTGGCAATTGTGTCAGCAGCATGGAGCGAGCAACAGCTAAGTTAACCCAAGCCCTCCACCAAGACTGACACTCAAACCACCATTTCCAGATCTGGCCAGCAAGGAACCCTGTCATCCAGCTCTGGCCAGGGGGTGCGGTGAGTCTGACATCCCTGCTCTAAACCATAATTTAACTCTTCCTCCCCTAAATTTGTTTTAGTTGCTCCCAAGGGCATCTAGAAATCAGCCTTGGAAAAACTGAGCTGGACTGGGAGAATCTGAGAGGAAAACCAGTTAGTCTAGCCTAGAAGATGGCAATTCTAAGGAGCAGTGTTTCCCAAACGTATGTATGGGGCTTACACCCCACTGTGGTCAAGTCAGATATTCTTGTGGTCCCCCTACGGTTCAGCTGCAACCTTTTAGCAACAGCAAGCTGAATTAAGGCACTCTCATTGTAAGGTGCGCCACCGTTTGTGACTCAGCTGCTGCTGCTACTTCTCACAAACATTGCTAGCTCTTAGTGCTGCTTCTTCCCCGTCACCACTTCCTCTCACTGCTGAATGCTACCAGTTTCCACTTCCCCTGCCACCAGTTGTTGACAGCTCCCTCTCAACACGCACACATGCACATACACACACAGCCAAATGTCACCAGCATCCAGGCTTTCACCAGCATCTAGCCTACAGCCTGTAGAGAGATGTTAATTAGGCCTACAAAGGCCTACAAAGGTAGGCCTAATTAACATCTCTTTACAGGCTGTAGGCTGCCAACCCCCAACCTGAGATCCTGCTCCTGCCTTTGTTTCAAGGCAATCTGCATCATCACACATCTTCACAGGAGGTGAGAGACTTCATACCAGCTATGAACTGATTGCCCAGAGGAGTTTTCCATCTATTGACTCCTCTGTGAAATCCTATGACATCTTAACTTTCATTTCTACCCAGGAGAACTTTTACAATCTTTTTTCCGATGCCTGATGACGGGTGTATGCTCCCAAAAGCTTGCAATTAAATTTTTTTTTTTGGCAAAAATCTTGTTGACCTAATAAAAGATATCATCTCTATTACAAGTCCTGATTGCCTTTTCGTCTAGACCAATATGGCTACACATGCACGGACATCCTGATAATACTTTGCCTTCAGGCCTTCCCCCAGAAACCTTTCACACCTGCCCAATGGGGTGGAAAACAGCCTTTGTGGCAAAACTCACTGCTGCAACTTAGCTTCTGTTTGGAGAGAACATGGAAAGAGATGCATTCAGGCTGAAGCATCCTGACAGCACTGCGTAGAAGCACTATACTGACTTCTAGCTGTCTGTTTTTCACTTTCATAAACTATAGTAATCCAAACATATAGCTTTCTTAATTAAGATGTCTTTGGAAAGAAAGTAACAGTGTTTCTGTAAAATGAAAATAAAAATCAGACATACTGCAGTCATCTGTACACCAGTCTAAAGAGAAACTTGTACCTTTCCAATATTACTGCTAGCCATTTGCAGTTGTATAAAATTAAACCTTTAATATTGAAAACAATGTAGGATTGTCTATCATTCTCTTAAATATCTGAAAGACACAGATGAAGTTAACCCGAGAGCTTATACTTTCATGTACTGTACCTTTTTTGTTGGTTCTAATAATTGTCTCAGACAACAATAAAGGGCTTCCGTTGGAAACGTCATTGATAGGCTTTTCTGGTGGTTTGTTGGTAAGACTTTCTTTCTTCATGTCCTTCTTTATTTCCTGCATGGAGAGAAGAAAAGAACATGGTGAGAGAACTTATACAATGTCATACAGGGTAATTTAAGCCTCAGATACCCCAGATTGGAAAAAAAAAAACACGTGTGTTAACTGATCACCCCCCCAGGTTGCCAGCTAGATTTGATTTAAAAAAATAAATAAAAAGAAAAGAGTTGTTCCTACAGTATGATGCAATAATTTGGGTTATTTGTTACTCTGCTCCACAAAAAGCAGTTATTCTCTTACTACTATACAGTTCAGGTGATAACAAGTTATTGTCACTCCACTGACTACAACTAGACAAGTTTTCAAATGGTTTCCAGGGCTAAAAATAGTTTAAAAATCCATTGTATAGTGGTAATTCAAGATTGTATCAGCTAAAATTTGTATATAGTCCTACCCTTTTCATAATAAAGATGATGCTTCAGTTTAGGCTACTATATTGGTAGTAGATGTATGTATAGTATACCCTAACTCCTAGACCTATTTGTAAGTGAAAATGTCACAAAGGGGGGGAAAGTCCAATAAAGCTAATAAATTCCCTACTTTAAAACAGGTTGATTTCACCAGATTATACTTCTGCCTAAAAAACCCTACTTTCCCTATTACAAGGCACACTGAAAATTACTATAACTGAATGACTGCCAGAAATAAAAATTATCCAGTTTTTCCATTTTAGTAATTGTGCTTCAGACAACACTGTACACAGCTGGCATTAGTTTCCCTTTGTAAAGCCTGACAAACCAATTTCTCCTTGTTGTTTCTGTGGACTTTTCAGGATAGCAGCTGGGGAAAAGAAAATAATTTTTAAAAATAGGAAAATATGACAAACGCTACTAATATTGGCAGAGGACTTCAGGGGAAAGCATCATTCTGGTTAATACTGATAACACTTTATCAGTTGCAAAATATGTTACGGCAATGGTCATTTTCACAGTCTGCAACAAATACGAGAGAAGTAAGCTTTCACTGATATAAACTTGCCCTCAATATATTACTACAAAGAAATGTTCATAGTGGTTATGTACTCAAAAATATAAAAAAGCACCTTTTCTGCAAACCTTTAAATTTATCAGCTTAATTACTTGTCTGCCCCTCCTTCCATAGTTTTTTGAACACCTTGTATTCTTTTACTATACTTTGTCCTCACAGCACCCCTGTGAAGTAAAGAAGTACCATTATATTCATTTTCCAAGTCAGGAACTGAGGATGCAGAGTATATGCCTGCACAGCACAAAACAAAGCTGTGCAGAGAAACCTAAGCTAACTCTAAACAAGCTAGCTCAGGACCCAGAAGCAGCATGGCCCGATTAGTGCAGAACTCTACAGGAGCTAACTACTTGTGCCGAGAAGCAGGGTATATCCTGCATCCAGTACCCAAGCTACCTTGTTCACAGCTAACCCAAGCATCTCTGTACAGCACTGCACTGTGACACAGAAATACCCAGAGAAACTTAGTGACTGGCTGAAGGACAACATAGGAAATCAGCAAAGGAGAAGAAAACTGAACACCCATGTCTCCCAAGTCCTCAGGCTATTAATTCAACTGTACAATCATCCTTCCTCCATAGCCTGAATGTTTCTGAAATAAATTCTAAACATATATCTAAATTCACTTGCATTTATTGAAACAATTTTAGATGCCAAAAATTCAGTAATCTCATTAGTAAACCTGTATCTCTTAATATTTGTAAAGGGCTTTGGTAGGTATAAATGCAAGCCTATGGCCAACTAAATGGTATTAAACATAAAATTTTATCATCATCTAATAAGTCTGAAAGTTGCACCAGTACTGGATCTTTAAAAAGCACAAGAAGAATCAGTTACTAAGCAAGCGTGTGCACACACTTAGTGGCAGGCTGCATGAATGCTTCATGGCATGATGTCCTGTAACAGGACGTAGATTTCTGCTGCAAATTGTAAAGACTTATTTAGCATTAAAGATAAGCAAAACAAGGATGTTAAAATAATACTTTAATTTGCAAAGTACTTTGCTACTAAAATTGAATTAGTTATGTTGTTACTTTGGAAAAAGAGCTATCAAAGCTTTCTGAGCTTCCCTCAAAAGCTGAATCAATCTAATGCAAACATTCTTGTATACTTGCACAAAGCCATTTACCATATATCCGAGTGTTCAGTTGGTGGGTATAAGTTTTATTAACAGCTACTTCCCTCAAACTGTCAATATTTAACCACTATTTCAGTGAAATCACACAAATAAAAAAAAGCAACTGAGACCCAATTTACCCCAGGAATCATGATCACCACTGACTGTAATATATCAGTTATTAAAGGAAGTTTTGTTGTGTTCCACCTCTGTCCCCCTGATTCAAAAGTAAGATACAGGATAGTCCACAAATAATACATGCTTACATAAAGGAGGTAAAATTATTTTATAAAGAATATGCCAGGTTAGTAAATGGATTGTTACAAGGATTTTTTTTAAACCTAAGAGTTCAAAGTCATTATAAACCCCTTTGTTGCATTTTGAAGTATGCCAGCTCAACGTTCAGTTTGCAGCATTAAGTGACAGATTCTGTGTTCATTTAATATTCTCGCAGAGGCAACTGAATTGGAAAGACCTAGTATGTCAAAATATTAATCTCCCTCAAGCAGGACTTCAGAGAACTAGTCTTCTGAAGACCCCATATTACCAGAGGGAATTTCCTATGCATTATTGGTAAGTGGATTTTTCAAGCTTTCACATCAACATGAAACTAAATGTTTTCCACCTCAAAAGACCTGAAATATCAACTTCTACAGTGACCAACAACAAAAATGAAACCTTTTTTTCTTGAATAAAGGGGTGGGAGAAGAACTAAGCCAAACAGTTTCTGCAGAATACGACCTGAAAAACTGAATTCACTACTTTACAGGTGGCTGAGAAAACCTAGTGCTCAAAATGAATGCAGTGCATCCTAGGACTGCCACCACCACTCGTCAGATTACCACCCTCCCACCCCAAAAAACAGTCTTGAACTGACAAACCACCAGAAGCTAGATAAACCAGTGCTGCAAAACAAATCCCACACACAATTCTTGTACTCTGGGTGGAAGAAAAGAACGCAAGCAAGCTTCCTTTCCTTTTTAGCAACCAAAGGAAGGGAGTGGTGACATTTATCAAACATATACTAAAAAAGTCCATTATCAGAAACACAGCTATTCCCATCGACAGAGCAATTTAGAGACATAATCTGCTCATTGCTAGCAGCCACAAGTTGGAGTGGGGGGTGGGCCGGCCCTCTTATCAAGATTCCTCTTGGTCCATTTGGGCAAAGTTTCATAGTTAGTAGGGTTGGATGGGACCTGAGCAGATCATCGAGTCCAACCCCCTGCCATGGCAAGAAAGAGTACTGGGGTCAAACAACCCCACCAAGGTGTTCATCTAGCCTCCTCTTAAAGACCCCCAGGGTAGAAGCCAGTACAACTTCTCTTGGAAGTTGGTTCCAGATCCTAGCCGCCCTGACCGTGAAGTAGCACCTCCTGATGTCTAGCCTAAATCTATCCTCTGCCAGCTTGTGACTGTTATTCCTAGTCACTCCTGGGAGTGCTTGGGGGAACAGGGACTCCCCCAATGCCTGCTGGTCCCCTCTGACTAGTTTGTAACAGGCCACTAGATCCCCCCTCTTGTGGAGGCTGAATCACCTCTTCTTCATTCATATTAACTTGTGTCTAGTTCGATTCACCTTCTATCAACCAGTAAATACCCTTCCTCAACCCATCAGGAGTTTATCATCCCACTATCTTTATGTTTTAATTTCTGCAGCCATAACAGCCAGTTTAGATACATATTTATGACCTTCCCAAATAGCTTCTGCCACCAGGGGGCAGCAAATTCAGAAATGCTAGAGGCTAAGTACAGAGATTCAAAAAGCCCCTGGTGGAAACATTCTGTAGCACTTTACATTCGCTGTTTGGGGTAGACGGGCCCGTAGCCTGCCTGCACTAGCTGAGGCAAGGAGGCTGGGGGTGCTCTTGCACACCTCCCAAGAGAATGCTGGAGCCATCCTTCTTCCTAGCCTTATCCCCATGCCAGCTGGTGACTATCAGCAGCTGCTGGGGAGGGAAAGCAAGAAAAGGAAGGAGCCCCCAGTGCCACATCCCATCCACTAGCTGCAACACAGACCTGCCCATCCTGGCTTTTTGCTGTGCCAAGAACTGGAGGTGCTGCAGAGACCCAGCTAGCTCCCTAGAGCCCCCAGTCAGCAATACTAACTGCTGCCTGGCCCAGCTTTTCACTGCACTGGGAACTGGGGGTGGGAGAACAGAGCACCTATGCTGCACGAATCTAGACCACAACTCTGTCCGGGGTGCGAGCCGGGTTGCGGATGTTGCCCTGGTGGGTTCTATCCCCTGATGTTAAGTTAGCAAGAGGGAGAGGCGGACTCGCTGCGGTTCCAAGATATTTCTTTTATTTAGTCTCTTTCTTACATCCGCTCCACTGATGTAGATGTGGTTGCGCAGGCAGTTACACTTAGTTCAGTCCCGAACAACAACAAATAAAGTTTCTCACTTGTGCACCACTGGTGTGAATGTGGCTGCATGGGCGGATTCCGTCCTGGTTCAGGTGAGAGACGAAGGGAAGAAAACATCAAAACATTGGATCTTGGTTCGGGTGGGGGATAATCGATAATCAAGCATCCGTCCCGTTCCGATGGAATGGATGTAAGGTAAACCAACGGCTCTCGGGTCAGGTGAGGGCTAAAACAATAAACCGCTGGACTTCCCGAGAACCAAAAGAACCAATCGGCAAATAGTTTCTCCGGAGACAGGAGAAGCCATGGGAAGCTGGCCAGGCCTACCCACTGAACGGTGGAAGCTCCGGCTTCTGCTCTAACTAGTTGACCGAGCGATGGATGCTCTGATGTCCGCGTGCTGCTCTGCTCGTCTCCCTGCTCTCCTGGGTGGAAAATTCCGTCCCAGGCTTTATAAGCCAGATGACAAGCCTCATTTTAAGCCCCCCGCCAATTGGTTGCAGGGTTTTTCACAGGGGATGGGGCTTC